TCTTAGGGTTGATACAATATTATACAGTCTCAGAACAGTGAGTCCTAATGCAAGTACTTTGGACATTTTATCAGGAGGGACCAATTCCTGGAGAAGGACATGCTGCTTGGTGGAGAAGAGTGTCGGAGAACCTTAATAAAGAGCAAGAACCTTAATAAAACAGATTAACATGCTGGCTCCAACGATGGCTTCAAACACATCATTTGTGAAAATGGTGCATAACAGGGTAATTTTTCGCTGTCATACACAGGGCTGGCATGAGTCAGAACCAACTCAACAGCACCTATAAACATGGGTTTCTATTTTACTAATGGTGAAAATACAGCAAAATATTTGTTGACTCAAATATGATTTAAAAATTCAGTTAACACAACTACAATCCTCATATTATAAAAAATATTGCTCTTTTTCCAAAATTTCCCACTATGATTGACACAAAACTCAATACCCCCAAACATAATCTTCCCACCTCCCATCTACCTCTGGTAATCACTTACCATCTTTGGTTTTCTGCATTTATTTCCTCTTATCGTACTTGTCCTTTTTGTAGTTTTCTTCATTTGGCACGCTGCTTCCTAGGTTCAGCCAGGCTGTGGAACGCAGTGGGATTCTTGTCTCTCTTTAGGTAAGTAAGACTCCATTGTACTTATAAACCTCATTTTGTTTCTTCATTTGTCTGTTGATGGGCATGCTCATTTCTAGTTTTCGGGTATTATGAAAAATGCTGCAATAGTGTTTTTTATGTGGTTTTTATGTGTTGATTCTTTCACTGATTTTGGACATAACACACCAGACTGGGATTGCTGGGTCACAAGGTGACTCAATTTTATTCTCCAAGGAACCTCCTAACTCTTTTCCACAAAAGCTGCGCTATCTCACCAGGAAGAGAAGGGAGTTCCAGAGTCATCGTCTTCCTGTAACCTTACCAGGACCACCTTCATTCAGGTGGGGTGGGGTGGGGTGGGGTGGTATTTCATGGAGGTTTTGACTGGCATCTCCCCAGTTCTTAAGGGCACTCTAATCAGGAGGAAGTTGTGCATCTCTAGTGGTTTGCATTCACTGGCCCTTCTTTTATATATATTATTATATATATACAATATATTAATATACTATATATATAATTTTTGTGTGTGTACCATCAAATCAGATCCGATTGGTACAGACTGTCCCTTCTTCTCCAGCAGAGCATCTGGTGGATTTGAACCATGCACCTCTGGGATTGCATTGCAGCTTCTTGCCACTACGCCATCACAGCTCCCTTTCATGGGCCCTTCTTAGGGAGATGGACGGACGAGTCCCCTCCTGTGTGATTTGAAGCCTTAGGAACTCAAGGGCAGGTCGGCTATGAGCCTGTTCTAACTCTCCGACCTAAAGAACTGAGAGTTGCCAGTGATGGTGAGTGCTTTTCACATGCTCTAGGACATCTGTGTCATCTCTAGGGAAATGTCTGTTAAGTCTTTTGCTCACTCTTGATTAGGCTGTCTTTAGTTATAAAGTTACACATTTTTTCCTTCAAATGTATTTTTTAATTTAGATCTTTATCAGATACAGGGTTCTTTAAAATCTTGTCCAATCTGAAGGCTTGCCTTACCTTGTTGATCAAATTATTTGATGAACAGATCTCTTTCACTCTGGTAAGATCTCATTTATCTACTTTGTGTTTTGTTTAATTAATTGTAATGAATGTTTACATAGACTTTGGATTTCCATTAATTCATTGTTGCACTTTTCTCCCTGCCCACCCCTCCCCGCCAGTTTGCTCCTCTCTTTGAAAAGTAAAAGTTCTTTCATTAGTTATACGATCCCCACCTCCCTCCGAGTACACTCATTCTGGACTCTTGTCATAGCCATAATACCCAATCATATATCGCTTTTAAACTGTTCTCTCCCTCATGTGTTTCAATGCAGTATACATAATTTATCCAATTTTTCTCAGTATCACCCCAACCTTGATGACAGTCCCATTTTACAACAGTGGCATTATGCAGTATTTGTCTTTTTGTGACTGAAATATTTCACTCAGCATAATGTCCTCCAGGATCACCCATTTTGAATAATATTGCATGAGTTCCTTGTTTTTCAATACAGCCTAGTATTCTATTGTGTGAATATACCAGAACTTCTCTATTTGTTTATTGATGGGCACTTAGGTTGTTTCCAACTCTTTGCTACTGTGAACAAAGCTACAATAAACATGGGTGTGCATATATCTGTTTGGGTGGAAGTTATGGTTTCTTTGGGGTATATTCCCAATAGAGGAATTACTGGGTCAAATGGTATTTCTATTTGCAACTTTTTGAGAAAGTGCCATAGTGCCTTCCATAGTGGTTGCACCATTTTACACTCCCACCAACAGTGAGTAAGGGTTCCAGTTTCTCTGCAACCTCACCAGTATGTGTTGTTTGCTGCTCTGTTAACTACTTTGTGTTTTGTGGCTATGCTTTTTGTTGTCCTGCATTTTAAATGTAAAATAATATTAATGAAAATGAATTGTACTTTCACTGATTCAGACTTACAATTTCAAGTCTGTTCTTCTCATTGAACATTATCTTGAACAATAGTAACATTATAGTCATGATCAGGAGGGAATAGAGGTATTTAAAACCTTTCTACACCTTTCTGCAGGGCCCCTGCCTGGGCCTCAGGCTTCTAGGAGGCTCCTGGGGTGCAGCCAGGCACTGCAGCCTCAGCTCTGGTATCATCTGAGGGCTTGACTAAGCTGGGCTGCGTGGAAACCTTGTACCCAATGGGATTTTCACAGGACAAGCTGCCTACCCTGTTGCTACAGAAACAGAGAAAGAAGGGAGGGACTCGTCTACCCCCAGTCAAGCCCTCAGATGATGACTTGGGTACCAGAGGAAGGTGTTTAAGGGTGAAATCATACTTGGATTCTTTCTCAGTCCTGCTTTCCCCAAGTTTCTGTATCTGCCAGATGCTTTCTAAGAGAAACACCTGGGACAATCCACTGTCATCCCAGCCCAATGCCAGTCAACTTAACATCACAAATGGCCAAAGAAGTCTTAATCTCCAATGGTCTACCCGGACCCAATGAGACCTTTTCTCCTGGGTCAATACTGGCCCCTGGTGCTCTTCTACATATGTGCCCACCCCCTGGTCCCCTAGGGGCCTGACTCTCATGGTTTCCGCAATGCTACCAACTTGTTTAACTAAAAATTTTGTTTTATACTGGTTTGCATATCGAGTTTGTATACATTATTTTGCACACTGGATTGAATTTCCCATTTACCCTTCAATAAATTGTTTTATACTAAGAAAAAGGATTTCCATTAGCTTTGTGACTAAAGGAAAAACTCAATGAAATCCCACATGGACAGTGGAGAGAATGAGAAAAACTTTGCTCTTTTTGGTCACAGTTGTGCTGCCAACCCAACTGTAGTGGTTCTAATTCACCATCTGCTCCATAGAGAAAGATGGGCAGTTTCCTCTCTTCTGAAAACCCACAGGAGGTCAGCTATGAGTCTGTTCTGACTTGCGGGCACATGGCAGTACACTGCATTTTTACTAACAGTCCCTTCCCATAAGGCTGAGTTTACATACTTTATAATTCTTTTTTATATACTTCTCTAATAAAAATATTTTTTTTAATAAACATTTATAGAGACATGGATTTCCATTCATTTATTGTTGCACATTTTCTTCCTTGCCCGTCCCTCCCCCCTCAATTATATTTTCTCTTTGAAAAAAAAATTCTTTTATTGTTATACAATCTCCTCCCCCAGTCCATGTTACTAATGCAGCTCTTATTCTGGACTGCTGTCATACAAATAATACCTAATCATATATTCCATTTAAGCAGCTCTCTGCCTCATCTGTTTCAATACAGTGTACATTTATCTCCTCTTTTCTTAGTTGCCTCCCAATCCTGACGTCCGTCTTGTTTTATAACAGTGGCATTATGCAGTATTTGTCCTTTTGTGACCAAGATATTTCATTCAGCATAATGTCCTCCAGGGTTCTTATCACCACTGTTGGTAGGAATGTAAAATGGTGCAACCACTCTGGAAAGTGATATAATGCTTTCTCAAAAAGTTGGAAATAGAAATACCATTTGACCCAGCAATTCCACTACTGGGAATATACCCTAAAGAAACCAGAACTGCCACACAAGAAGATATATGCACACCCATGTTTATTGCTGTGTTGTTCACAACAGTAAAGAGTTGGAAACAACCCAAGTGTCACCAGTTTTCTCAGATGCAATGGCTGAAAATAAGCAGGAGTGTGGCGATGACAGTGGAAGCTGCCTGCATTATTGGTCATTGATCTGAGCTTCGGAGGACCAAGTTTGTCAAATTCAACATCTTCTACCTCACTCTTGAGACCACAAGGTTTGTTCATACTTAAATTGTTGTATAAGTACCAAGGAGGGAACTCAAAGGGGAAAACTCTAGAGGAGGGGAGTGGCCTATATACCTGTCCAGGTGGGGTCTAGAGCCTCTGCCACTGCCCAGAACTAGAGGCTCCTGGGGTTTCTTCTTTTATATGTAGAAGCCGTGGCATTTGAATGTTGAAGGGAAATGATATGATTGAAGCTGGCGATAGAGAGTCTGGGCTACGAGTGGGTTAGGGGGACAAGTGATGTAACTTCAAACAGCATAGAAATGATGGGTTTCATTTTCAGCCCTCAGTTCAGAGGATTCTTTGAGGGGCACTCTCTGTAGCCAACCTGGTTGGGTCCTGCTGAGGGAGCCCTTCATATTCAAGAGCAGAAGGCTAGTCCTAAGTCTTCCCTCAGCCCAGGTCAGCTCTCAGAGCTTTTAAAAGACACAGGTAATCAATGTTCACAGTGGAAAAAATGTCACATCATCCTTTATTGGACACTTGCGCCTGCACCTGGCCCCTTCTCTCCTGGTACGGGGCATGGGGCACAGGGACCAGAGACTCCTTGACCTGGCCAGAATGCAGTGGGAACCTGGCCAGCCAGGCCCCACCAACAAGCTTGTTGGGCCAGCACCCTCACTGGTACCTGAGGTGCTTGCTCAAGTCTGTCCAAACTCCTGTTCACAGTAGCCTACATTGATGGGTTGGGCCTGGACACCACGCCTGCAAGAGGACACAAAGAAATGGAGTGAGACAAACCACTCAGTCTTAGGGAAGAACATTTACTTCAGAACAAGTCTCCCCTTCCCCTACTATAGTGGGTATCAAACTTTTTCGTGTAATAAAACTACTTAGGAACTTCACTTCCAGAGATTGAAGCCAAGTGTTTGTGAGAACCTGCACACTGAATCACTAGGTACCCCAGGAGATTCTGACATAGGACCAGGAACTCTGAGGGATGCTTACCTAATTACTGAAATTCCCTGTGCTGGGCTCTAAAATACTTAAAGGCAGTGGTCTGGGCAATGGAGGCACTGCAGTTACTGTACAAAAGACCAACAAGCCTAGCAACAGTAAGAAAGTAACTTGGAATCACTCAGTGCTTGATGATTTGGGCTTAGATTCCAGTGCTTACTGCGCTAGCTAGGACTCGGCTTGGCACTAGGTGGGATCCCCAGGTCTCCCAGCCACAGTCAGTGAACGAGTTAGAAAAATAACCATATTTTGCAGGCCCGTCCCCAACAGAGGTGTAGATGTCACAAACACCCATGAAAGAGCATGGCTAAGACCAACACTCTGAAGCTGGCCTGGTTCAAATCCTGGCTGAGTGACTCTAGGCAAGTTATGAAATCCTCTGTGACTCTGCTGCCCATCTCTAAAATGGGTGTGCAACAGCTACCTACCTGGCATAGGTGGTTAAATGAGGAGGTTCATGTACAGGGCTTTGCACATATTTGCTACCTAGTTAGTGCTTGCTCTATAAACACTGGCTATTGTCACTAATTTTTTTTTGTAATTTTTAAAATTTTAATGAACATTTACAGAGATTTTGGATTTCCATTCATTCATTGCTGCA